GGGTGGTGAAGCATTCCAATGACAGCTGAACCTAAGAGAACAGTCGTTTTTGTACAAATACACAGCAGTGGCTTCTCTCTGCTGCTGTTTTTGCATTATGTTACCTAACATAGCGCCTAGGTGATTAGAGACACAAACATGCTACAGTTTTAATTGAAGTTTATTTGCAAATATAATATAATCCAGCCTAATCAGAGGGGGAAAGGTGTGCCTGGAACAAGCAAACATGAAGAATGCACTGCCCTAAAGAGGCCATCGCTGCCGTGCGCCGAACAAAGGGAAATGGGGTTAACTCAGTGGAGAGTAATTGGCCGTGTCCCGTTTTCAGTCAGTGCCTAGCCAACAGAAAAGCGGCTCCACTTAAAGCAGGGTGTAAGCCTGGAGACTGATTAGTTAGGAAGCGATTGCTAAAGGCAGAAAGAACACAATCGGTCCCAGGAGCGTTCTCTCTCAGCCGTTTTCTCTGCCCTGAGAGACTCCGCTGGAAATCCCTTAATGCACTATGCCCTTCATTTATTTTTGCTACCAGACATTTGAGAGCGTTTAAAAATGCTACTTTTTGAACAGTTGCCTGATGATGGATCACACTGAATTATATATATGTGTGTGTGTGTGTGTATGTATTCCCTCTCCACAAGGAGCAAGCAGAGGCTACCACCTACAGCCCAGCTGTGCAACTAGGTGTTCCAACGGAGGCCTTGACTTGCTTTACTGAACACAGAGCAAACAAAATACTGCTCAGGATTATTACGCCACTTAAGTCCTCTTTACGCTAGCTATAAATATTTGATATACCTAGTAAAGCGCGTGACAAAACAGTTATCGGCTAAAGGCTACACAATTAGTTTTGTGTGGGTCTCATAGTTTGCGTCGGATGCTCTGGGGAGGTTACCGTGACGGCAATATTAACACTACACTGTTTCCCCCCCTTCCCCCCCCCAACTGCACAATTATAATTACCACTCATATATTATTCTGCGTTTATTACATACCAAAATAAAATGGTGATGGCAATTATTGTGCTTATCAGGCAGCATCCCGACAGCTCGGGAGAAGAGGTCTTTCTGTTCACATGGCATTCCATGCTGTTCCACATGCGCAAATCCCAGTTAAACATTATTTTAGCTTCCTTGTTTCACTGTAGGGTTCGTTTTTTTTATTTTGACTAATTTCAATACCTGCTCACCAATTTTCAAAGCATCCTCATCATACCCGGAACCAAAACAGTGGAACGCTGGCACCCCCTGGTGTCAGAATGAGTAGAGAAAACTGCTCTGGATACAAGCAAGAAGCCACATCTTGGGGGGGGGGGGGACAAGCCATCTTCTACCCACAGCCCACAAAGCTTGTGGTCCCTAAACAACCTTATGAGGAAGCTGCTTTAGGGGCCCTGTCTCGCTTGACAGGAAGGTCTCAAAAGCCTTTGGGCATCGCTTGGGTCTCCTAGCCATAAAGCTGTTCCAGTGGAAGGGGAGGGATGACTTCTTGCCCTTACCAGGAAGTGTCCCTTTGACAGGAAGGCATCTGTTGACTCTAGCTCAAATCCCAACACAGTCCCTACAAGCAGCAGGGACCGCCTTTAGGAAGGCTGGATCTTTCAGCCACCTCGTTAGCCTAGCCCTGATTCCGCTTGTTCTTTTACTCTAGCTCAAATCCCAACACAATCCCTACAAGCAGCAGGGACCTCCTTTAGGAAGGCTGGATTTTTCAGCCACCTCCTTAGCCTAGCCCTGATTCCGCTTGTTCTTTTTTGAGAGCCAGTTTGGTGCAGTGGTTAAGTGCGCAGACTCTAATCTGGGAGGACCGGGTTTGATTCCCCACTCCTCCACTTGCACCTGGCTGGATGGCCTTGGGCAAGCCGTAGTTCTGATAAGAGCTGTCCTTGAAAAAAGAGCCGTTTCTGTCAAGAGCTCTCTCAGCCCCACCTACCTCACAACGGTGCCTGTTGTGGGGAGGGGAAGGGAAAGGAGTTTGTAAGCCACTCTGAGACACCTTCAGGTAGTGAAGGGCGGGGTATAAATCCAATCTCTTCTTCTTCTTTTCAACCCAGCCTACTTATTGGAGACCTGACAGTGTTGCTCCTTGGTATCTCTAACGATGCAGCCTTCACACAATCAGAAAAGCTCTTTGCAGCATCGAGGACAGAAAAAGTAAGGTGAGGTTGGGTTTTGCTGTTGGGCGTTTCCTGACCTCCTTGAGATTTCTGCAGTATCTCACACCTTGTAGCCTAGTTGGGTTAGCTCTTGGGAACCATGGCAGCATGATTATCTAAGAGAACTGGGGACAGAGCAGAGGTGCTTTTTGATCTGGGGCCACAGAACGGGGTATACAGAACTGGAGCACGTAGCTCCTTTAACCAGCTTGGGTGGGTTGGCTAACTGTGGCTCTGCCCTGAGAAGCAGCATCTGGCCACACTCTGATGACATCCAGGTTGGACTACTGCAACACACTCCATGTGGGACTGCCTCGGGAAGCCTGCTCGGAATCATCCACTGGCTCAAAACGTGGGGGTGAGGCTGTTAGCATGTGAATTTACACAGACCACATCTTTTCCAGTTTTAAAAGCTTCAAGTGTCAGAATAGAAAATGTCTGGTGTACAATGTCTGTTGTGCACTGTTGCTGTGTTAATCACTCTGCCAACATTAAGGTCACTGCAGGTTTGTTTTCAAGCACAGTTCAAAGTTCTAGTGTGGACATGGAAAGATCCTGAGCAGCCTCCCCCATAGGTGCTCCCCCATCCACTGCAGCCATCATGAAACGCCTTGTTTTGCCTCCCTCCCCTCACCCCCGGGCAGGTGCATAACAACAGAGACAGGGCTCGGTCAGCAGTGGCACCTCCACACGGGCTTGCCTGGTGCCAGACTTACATGCTTTTGGACCCCCAGCAAAGACCTCTCAAGCCTTCTAACCCCCTTCCCCCCACAACAGCAAGTTTTAACTACACCACCCCATAACATTTTAGGCCTATTCTTACTCTGATTTTAGGATACTTGAGAAGTTGTTCTAGCCTAATTAGCATTGTTGCTAGTTTTAAACCTGTTGACTGTGTTTCTTTCATTTATATAGTTATTTATTGTCTGTGTTGAAACCCACCTGGGGATTTTGTTTTATCGGCTGCTGGGATTAAAGTGACCTAAATCAATCAAACCAACAGGCCAGTTTGTTGAATCCTGTCACTGTGTTGCTCTGACCACTAAAGGGCTGAGAAGCAACTGGGCCCAAGGTCACCCCACTTGGCTCCCCCTTCCATGGGGCTCCTCAGCCTCTCCAAGCCAGCACACCTTCCTCTCCCGCTGTCTTTCCACCTCCCTTTTTATCCTGGGGCTCCACACACCACACTTTCTCTGAGTGCTGCTCCTTTTAACCCTTTCCTTGCTTTGCCCGCCCCACCTGAGGTCTCACAGGTCTGGCCAGAGTACATTGCTGCCGGCCGCGCCCCCAGCCTGGGCCTGGTGAAACTCCTGGCACTGCTTTGTTCATGATCTGCCATGGGGCAAGGCCGGCTTGCTGCCCCCCCCCCCCCGCTGGGTGCTGCTGCAATGCTGGGCAGTGCCTGGCCTCAGCTTGAAGCCGCTGCTGCCTTCAGCTTGGTACGCTGGACCTCCTCTGCAGCCATTTTGCCACAAACACATAACTAATTTATGGACTCTGCTGTCGGAAGATGTCCACAAGCTATCAATCACAGTCAACCGGACAGCTAAATGAAATATACGCAGAAACGTCTACAGAAACATCATAGCCATCTAGTGAACGTACAGCGGAAACCAGCCAACAGCTGTTCTCAGTGGAATGCCGGATTAAATGCAACATTTCTGGCGTGGCTGATCACTTCCAGACCCTACAATCAAATAGTAACGTATAAAGCAAGCCGGCCTTTCATCTGCTCATAAACAGCAGTAGTCAATATTGTATAACCTTAAAGATAAGTTTTTGCTAATAAATCCAAGCATCAATCAATGGCTTACACAAAATCTCTCATAGCAGCAGCTTTAGCGCTCATTTCCGCTAGTAGTATAGTGAACGATATTTCAACGTTCCTGGCACTATGGCATATCTTATGAAAGAGTCTGGTGTACAATATTTTCTGCCGTGGAGCGTGCTTCTTCTTCCACTACAATTTGCATTCGCGAAAGATCAATGGTTTTCAGTGGGGCCTTATGCTAATGGAAATCTTAGCAGAAAAGGACGTGTCTACCACCGCAGAGAATATCTAGTGCACATGGAACTCAATCCTGGGATCCAAACTACGATCATGGCTAGCCATATACTAATTTGGTGTTGATTCATCAAATCAGTTAACAAAGGAGGAGGAAATCTTGCTTTGACTTGGATCTTGTGTCTGTTTCTCTTGCACTTCTTTGCGGTTGCTGTGGAGGCTGTCCTCCAACACAGCGCTTGCTTCCTCTGCCGCAAGCGCTTCCACATGCGTAAGGGCTCCCTAAAAACATTAGTCTTGTGCAAGTGGAAGCCCTAGCAGCAGCAGAAGTCTACGGAAAACAGTCATAGGATCCCAGCCTTAGTAATTTAAATTAACAGCACCTTTACTGATGTCATGCCTGTGGGTTAGTCATCCACTTTCACATTATCAACTGTTTCTGTCCCAAATGCATGGAATAGGAACTGCATTTCTCTATAGTTCAACCCTAAATATAATACATATAATTTAGCTGTTCATGAATCAAAACACAGTACTCAATAAGAGTGTAGCATTCTGCAATTAGGTAAAAGTATTGCTAATTTAATGCAAAGCTTCATTTTGTGTCATAAGTGAACTTCTTCCAGATAGCATGATTTCATTAATCAAAAGCTCAGCGTTTAGGGACAGGGAAAATGCAGGTAAGATGTAAAGAGCAAACGAAAACGTCTTAGGATGCAAACAGGGCTCAGCTCTTTTGACAAGTTAGTCCTAGTGCTTTATTACAGTATTCCAAAAGTATAGAAAAGAGGGAGTATCACAGAAGTCTTATGGAATTAGAAATAAGAACAATTTATGAATTACCATGGTTACAAGCTTTCAGAACAGGCCTCTGGGAGGATGGGCTGAGATTCTGTATCATATCTGTAGGTAAGAAAATAAACATACATGCTAGTAACTTTTATACACAAGCATATTTCCAAGGGATCGTTCAGATTAAATAACTCTGGAAGAAAAGCTGAACTTATAAGCAGTGTTCCCTCTAAGCTGAGTTAGTGTGAGCTAGCTCACAGTTTTTTTATCGTCCAACTCGCACATTTTTGTCTCAGCTCAGGAAGGATGGCTCCAGAGCAAACTAATTTATGCAAAAGCCAAATCACTCGCTCACAACTTTAATGCCAGTAGCTCACAAAGTAGAATTTTTGCTCACAAGACTCCACAGGTTAGAGGGAACATTGCTTACAAGGTACAAGGTATTTCTCGTTGATAGGGGTGTGCAAAAAATAAATAAATCGGCCCAATTCGGATTCAACAGATTTGGGCAGAATCAATTTTGGCTGGCAGAAAGACTCCCGCATGTCCATTTTGGCAGTACCAGCAATTCAGGAGTCTTTAGGCCAGTCAAATGTCAATTTCGGCCCCATTATATCCTATGGGTCATTGAAGTCAATGGCGAAAACATAGGGTTTGAGGGAGAGGCACCAAACTTGCAGGGTACTTTTTTCCCACCATAGAGAACAATGGAGGGGATAGGGGCAACCTGTTTGGGGGCCCGTAGAATTGGACCCCCGGTCCACTGTTCTTGAAACTTGGTGGGTATCTTGGGGAGAGGCTCCAGCAGCTACCCTGCGAGTTTGGAGCCTCTTCCTCAAACCCCCTCCCCTCCAGCCCGCAGAATATACCCTTTTGGCCTGCAGCAGCCCAAAAAGGGTCCTAAATGGGCCATTTTTGGGGGTGCATTCGGTTCAGACTCGTTGAACAGTGTTACTATTAGGTAATCATGTTTCTATGAAAGAGGCTGGATAGAAGTTATCAGGTTGCAGGCAGAACACCAATTGATAAAACTGTATTGACACCAGTGTTCCCTCTAAACTGAATGTGAGCTAGCTCACAGTTTTTTAGCCTCCAGCTCACACATTTTTGTCTTAGCTCGGGAAGGATGGCTCCAGAGCAAACTAATTTATGCAGCAGCTGAATCGCTTGCTCACAACTTTAATTCCAGTAGCTCACAAAGTGAAAGTTCTGCTCACAAGGCTCTACGGCTTAGAGGGAGCACTGACTGACACTATGCCAAACAGAGGCTTTCTGCTGTATCTGACCTTACGACACTGTATGAGTGTTAGACTAGGATGTGGGAGATTCAGATCCGAACCTCAGCTCTGCCATGGAAGCTCAGTGCGTGACTCGAGGTCAGTCACCACATCTCACCCCAACCTGTTTTGTAAAGTAGTTATAATTCTGAGGATAAAATGAAGGAGGAGAGACAAATTATGCAAGCTCCTTTGGGTCCCCACTGGGGAGAAAAACAGGATAATATACTCAAATAACGAATGACTCAAGCGACCACTGGAATGTTAAAGCAGGTCTACCCTATAATTTAGTGTTAATGGGTTCATTTCTTAGAAAATACAAGCAGAGGACGCACAAGGACTAGTAAAGGAGCATCTCATTTTCCTTCTACCCACTGTTTCCTCTTCCCCTTCCCTGAAAGTCCCTGTAACTTCTCTCCTTTTCTCCTTCCCACCCACCAGTCAACCTATCTTTATCCAGCCCCGTTTTCAGCTCTCCCCCCCTCCTTTTGCCAGCCTCTCCCTGGGAAGTCTGTGTGGCACTGGTCACCAGGCTGGGCCCACTGGCACAGTGGGGAACCATCAAGGAATTGCAAGGGGCACCTAGCTTTCTCCAGAAACCCACTCCCTACACTCTTTATCTCCTCCTGATAATCCCCATATCCACACCTTCCCATGCTTCCTTTTCTCCTTCCCATGCATCCACCCAGGGGTTATTTCCTGCCAGAGTGCCCTGGAGCAGAGCTCTGGCAGTAAGGAGCCCAGGCCCTGCCCACCCGCCTGTGGAGAGACTCGGGGACAGGGGAAATTTAAACGCCTGGGTTCCCTGCCTGATCTTCTCCAGGTGCCCCACAGATGCGGAGCCCCTGGAGAAGATCGGGCAGGGACCCCAGACATGTCTGCCTCCCTGCCCTTCCTGTCTCCAGCCAGCCCACATGGCGGGCTGGCTGGAGACGGGAAGGACAGGGAGGCAGATATGCCCGCCTTTCCCCCTGAGCCTCTCCACTTTTGTGGAGAGACTCAGGGAAGTGGGGGGGGGGATTTAAACTCATTTGCATATGCCTTAACTCATTTTAAACATGCCTGCCCTTTGTCATGGGGTGTGGCATATGCAAATGAGTTATGCAAATGAGCTCCTGCACTTCTTTTTCTAGGAAAGGACCCCTGCATCCACCCATACCTTTTATCTGTCCTCCATCTTCAGCTGTATTTATTATTTATTTACTTCATTTATACCCTGCCTTTCTCCTCAGTGGGAATCCAGAGCAGCTTATCATTCTCTTCACCTCCATGTTCTCCGCACAACAACTCTGTAAGGTAGAAAGAGTGCTGAGACTGACTGGCCCAACGTCACCCCTGCATGATGGAGCAGGGATTTGAACCTGCATCCTGCAAATTCTAGGCTGTAGTACTATACCACACTGGCTTTCCTGCAGCGGTTGCTGTTGAACAGTAGTGAGTTGCCAGGTAATCACCTCTATCCAGTGTGAGTCGCGCAAGTCATAGGGTAGTGAATAATCTGTTGGCTGGGCAATAGGGAGCAGGGGGTGGACTAGGAGGCCAAAATAGACCTGGAAATGGCCCTGAACCACTCCCCCTGCCTTTTACTGACAGAAACCAAAGGTGGAAGGCTGGCAATATTGTTGTGGGTGCCTAGCAACCCCCAGAATGGCCACTGCAGAGGGCGTGCATATCTAAAAAGCACTGCTTCTATAATTTGGGGTGTTTAAACCCCCAAATGTATTTTTTGTACAGTTCAGATTTTTTTCCCTAAAACCTGAGTATCTTCTCAGGCTTCCAGAAACATCTGTCTCAGCTGTTCCTAGCTACCATCCCTGGATTTAAATATCCACAGGTAGGGAAGGGGACGTGGATCCATGATAAGAGTATCTGCTTGGCAGAAGGTCCCAGGTTCAATCCCCGGCATCTCCAGGTAAAGGAACTGGCCGTGGTTGAAGTGGAAGACCTCTGCCTGAGATCCCGGACAACCATGGATGGTCTGTGTAGATAACACTGAGTTTGATGGGAGTGATGGTCTGATCCAGTATCAGCCAGCTTCATGTGTTCATGGAACCATGTTGAGAATTATACTGATTCCTGTGCCGTAACTCTGTAAAAACAGCAGGTATTGTGGGGACATATTTACCTTTAGACTGCGTTGTTCGCTTCCTCCTGTCTCGGAAAGCAGCGCCTGACTGCAAGGCCTCCAATAAGCTATCCATCACTCCCATCTCGTCACCTTCTGCAGAAAAGCAAATACAAGGAATTCCTTCAGCTTTCAGAAGAGTTGGGTTTTATACCCCGCTTTTCACTACCCGAAGGAGACTCAGAGTGGCTTGCAATCGCCTTCCCTTCCTCTCCCCGCAACAGACACCCTGGGAGGTAGGTGGGGCTAAGAGAGCTCTGAGAACTGTGACTGGCCCAAGGTCACCCAGCTGGCTTCATGTGGAGTGCGGAATCAAACCCAGTTCTCCAGATTAGAGTCCGCCGTCTTTAACCGCTACACCAAACTGGCTCTCAGGGTTACCATAGCAATGGCAAAAGATTTACAAGGCTAGCAAAAAGGCTGTGGTATTTAAAAGCTGGCAATTCCAAATTCAGACAAGCCTGTAATTCAATCTTAAATCATATCTCCAAGAAGTCACCTCCTTTTAGTGTTGGTATTGTGTCCAGTAAAGCAAACCAAAGTTCATTTTATTCACTTCATACCACTGCACCCTAAAGAGTGACAGAGCAGTGATTTAAAATGCAAAGTAACGCCATTAAGCTTCTCCCTCTCTCTGAATCCTGCATGAAGCTATGATCACTGTAAACCTCACATCCCTTGCAGAAGCCGCTAACTTTTAGGAACCACATCTTCAGTGGTCACTAGCTGCACTAAACATATGGGGTTGGATTCTATCAGCTCTTCGGCTAGTGAAAAAGGGTGGAGCAATCTCCTTTGACCTTTAAAAGAGGCTGCACTGGAGATCACGGAATCTCCATGGGCAAACACCCTATGGAATACAGGATACAGTACGGAGAGTTGGGTAAGACTGAGCAGAAATCCTGCCTGAATCCAACCTATTAGCTGTTGAGATTCTGCTTGCATGAATGGATTACTAAAATAAAAACAACCACCCTAAATTTCAGCATGGAGCTCCAAGTGCCTACTCATGGAGACAGATTTGCCGTTTGCCACTTGAATAATTTTATTTTAAAAGAACAAAATCCCATATGGGACATCATAAGACCCTCATGTGATAGTTAGATTCACTACAGCCCACTTTGCTATTATGCTCCCCAGAACCATTTTCAAATTCTCAAAAGCGTCTGAAAGCAATTATTACCACAAGCCGAACAACTATAACTGTATTCTAATTTATTTTTATCATGCATACAAGGAATTAAAACCAACATATGGTTTTCCAAAGTGTTATTATATTGTTTTTGTTAACTGTTTCAAAGGTTTTGCTCAAAAAGATACCCCCAAAGCATCAATAAATTGTGATAACCTCCATTCTGACTGTCCACAACAAAATTCCTGTCATATCAGAGGGACGAGTCTTCTGGATAATAAATAAGCACCACTTCGGTACCTAAAATGTTTTCAATAATGGATTGAGACGGAAATCCCAACTTGATTTTTCCTCCTTCAGGTAACAGGCAGAAAATACTTTTCTATGTTGCCCAGGGGCCCAGGATTATACATTTAATATATGCCCAGGCTTTCCCTAACGTCAATCAAAATACACTTTGCTTCAGATCAGAGGGTTCAGCAACCAGTCCCACTTCCTTTGTGTTACATTTTTGGCTTATAGGTATCTTTACAACCACACATCTTGGGTGTGAACCACGAATGACAAGCTGAAGGCCTAGAGGCTAGACCTGGCCACAAAGTAATTGAATCCGGGCTCAAGAAGCCCTACAACAGCTAAATAGAGGTGGGCACACTCGCTTTGGGGCACTCTTTGTGATATTCCAGCACATTTCTGCATGACAACCACGTCACTCATATTTAGAATTATGATAATGACAAATATTCATGGCATGCCAAGGGCAGTACCGGTTAAAGCACTACTCTTTTCTACCAAATTTAGTGTGAGCATCTCCCTCCCCACAACAGTGCAGATCTGAGAAGGGACCACTATTGAGCAAGGCAGTACTTTAACAGACTTGTTGATAGCAGCCGTCATTTTTTCTTTTTGGCCAATCAGTACCTGTACCTGGGCTGACATGACCCCAGGTATCTTTTAAAAAGTCATAGATACTTTAAAAAATGGATATTGGTCAAGCTTCTCCAATCCATAGGAGTCAATTTTATACACCCAACATATTTGATTGGTAGTAGTCTTTGGCCTCAAGTGTTCAAGGGCTATTGCAGAAGTTCAACCCCATCTAAAAAGGAAATTTTTAGTGGGGAATGCCTACTTTTCTCATGGATAGCTGGCTGTTCTATATAAAGTTAGACAATGCTTTATGGAACTGAAAGGCAGAGCACGCACACTCCTAACTAGAAAAAATGGACAGTTATATAGTTTAATCATTAAACCTAAAAGGGAATGAAAAAACCTTCCCACATCAGGCAACAGAGAATATGGTGCAGAGGACAATGATGATTCATGTTACTATGATCTCCTAATGACGAGAACGGAAGCTGACCAGGTAAAAAATTTCTTTTCTTCCCTTAAGGAATCATTCTATACAGTGTTTTGTCCAAGAGAAGATCTAATCCTCTTTCAGACCCCATTAGAAATGAGGGTCCTCAGTGCCTGAGCACTCTTTCAAGCCCCCACCCCCGCATATAGACAAAGGCAGGTTCTAAAGCCTTCTCTAAGAGTAGACTCGTGAACAGAGATGAACTCTACAAATTTCTTGTAGTGGGGCCTTCTCCAAATATGCAGCCCACCCTCCCCAACTGGGGTGGGCCTTGAAGAAGAGTAGGCCAAAGTTACACACTCTCTGAGGCAGCACGATAAGATGCAGGAGACACCTTTATCAACAGCTTCGGAAAAGTAAATGCAGGTTTGTATGCAGTATAATGGGCTTGGGTGTGCTCTATGTAGAACTTGAGAGCCCTGTGAACTTCTGAAGAGCGCCACTTTCTCTTCCTCACAGTAGCACACAAACAAAAAAAGGGAGAGTGAGCCCTTGAATTCTGTGGATTTTACAAGTGATCAGGAATAAGAAAGGGCCTGGTTTAAACTATTTTTATCATGCCAGAAAAATGCAGAAATCTCTCTACTGAGTAGGGGTGTGTATTCGGCAATAGCCGAACCAAAACAAATACCCCCAAAATACCTTGTCAGTATAGCGGAACCCGAAAAAGCCGATATTATCCGGCTGTTTTCGGGTTCATTTTGCTATACCAAAAAAAAGGTCAAACCTAACAGCCTGAGCCGCCAGTCAGCTGTTGGGTTTAAATGCCTTTCTTTCCCTTCCCAAGATCGGGGAGGGAAAGAAAGGCATTTTAAACATGCCTGGGTTCTCTGCCCGATCTTCTCGCACAGGGAACCCAGACATGTTTGCATGCCCCCTTCCTTCCCTGAGCCTCTCTGCTTTTGCGGAGAAACTTGGGGAAGGGAGGGAAAGGCATTTTAAACATGCCTGGGCTCCCTGCCTGCCCTTCTCCAGCTACCCCATGTCAGCTAGAGAAGGGAAGGCAGAGAGCAAAGGCTTTCCCATGTCAATTGCAGTCACAGCTGACTGGCGGGGAGTGAAATTGACAAGATAATAGGTTTGGGCTACCAGAAGGAAAAGAAGGCATTTTAACATGACCCGAATATATTCGGGAATAATGAATATTTCCCCAATCCAAACACTTTACCAGTATTGGTCTGGGGAAATTTCGCATTTACTGATATTTTTCGGGTCTGATTTACCTGAAGCCGAAAAATCAGCTTTTTTTTTTTGTTGCACACCCCTATTACTGAGAGAGCTCCTAACTCACACACTCAACTTGGAAATATACTGCCATGACAAGAAGGTCTTTGGAAAGATTATTTTTATGGCAGCTGTTCCCAGGGGGAAAACAGGTAGCCAAGATAGGTCTCGAAGGACTACATCTAGGCTCCAGGACAGAACACTTTTGTGGGGTGGAGTATGATGTTCATAGGAGCTTCCAATTAAGTGAATGACCAGGCACAGACCTCCTTTGTGAGTTGGAGAACACCCAAGGTGTATCTGCTCTAGATGTCAGGACATACACCAGACTTAAGAACTTCATAAAGCCAATAATGTGGAAATTATCTTCATAATTATCTAGGCAAACAGATGGAACTGTGTTATGGAAAGGTCATCAGAAAATCTGAAAACTGTATTAATAACAAAATTGACTTTTCCCATCTACAAATGTTAATCCATTTGTGCCCTGAGCTGCAGACTATCTTGTTAGAATGCAGAACCTAATCAGGACAGGCCCTGGTTACTATGTGGATGGGAGACCAATGAGGAATCCCAGGGTTGCGACACAGAGGCAGACAATGGCAAGCCACCTCTGAACATCTCTTGCCTTCACAACCCTACAGGGTTGCCATGAGTTGGCTATGACTTGATGACACTTTACAACAACAACAACAACAACAACTGATTTGTAGAGAAATTACAAGTACCCATGTTCCGGAATAGCAAAGTCCAAGATCGAGCTTTACCTTACACATTTTTTTCAGTTGAGAGATAAACCGCTGGTTACTTTCTTGTACTAAGGGTTTTGTATTAATAGAACCACTTTGGGTAGAAGCACCCCAAGATTCGGCCAAGTAAAACATCTAGTCCTGAAAAGACCACTGTGGTGGCAGAGACCACAAGCCACAATTGCTTCTGGACGTTGAGGGTGGTTGGGAGGCAGGATCAAGTGTGTAACTTTTAAAGTGAGAAAGTCTTGCATTCTTTTCTTGTGGGGAAAGCTGTTTTGAACAGAATCCAAAATTCTCCACGAAAAGGAATTAGTTCCATGGGTATGAGTAAGCAGTGCAGTGGCTGGATTAGGGCCTGGGAGACCTGGGCTGAAATCCCCCTCTGCCGTGAAAGGCTGCTCGGTAAAAAGCAGCCAACCTACCTCACAAGACTGTTGTGAAGATAAAATACAGGAGAGGGAAATTATATAAGCTGCTTTCAGTCCCCACTGGGGAGAAAACAGGGGTATACATGAGGTAAACAAATAGTAATATCTTCCACTGCAGTTGGGGGTAAATGTTCCTGTGCCTGCCAGAGCCGTCTTCCAAATCACTGCTTTCAGACAGGATGCCCTTTCACGTCTCTCACCTTTGGTGTAAACAGATTACTGACAGAACACCTGCTAATGTCATGTCCTTCACACAAAGTAGGCACAGTATGTGGCCCTCAGAAAATGTCACTTTTACCTCATGCTGTATCTTGAAATAAAGCTTACTGAGCCTTGATGGCAAAAGGAGAGAAACACAAGCTCTCATGTCTCCTCTACAAGGAATGCTTCCAGAAATCTCTTCAGCAGCCAACACCTGCCGTGAAACTCCTAAGTATCTTCTCTCCATGTCAGTGAAGTGAACTGAGAAGACAGGAACCCACTGGTGGAGTAGAAGAAGAGCACCTCACACCCCAATCAGCTGTAGAACTGATGTGGACTATCACCAGGGCAGGGGGTGTCACTCAACGCCAACAGAAGATGTGCTTCCCTTAGACAGACAAGTCTGTTGCCTTTTTGTGAGATCAAAATGGAGGTGAGAAGAACAATGTTCACCACCCAGAGCTCCTCGAAGGAAGAGCATGATACAAAAGTAATAAATCAATAGCTTGAGGTGGTGAGCCTTCTTTTTCTCCCCTCCTCTATTTTATCTTCACAAGTTACGTTGAGAGAGAGTGGAGGGGCCAAGGTCATTCTGTGAGCTTCAAAGCACAGTGGGGATCTGTACCTGGGTCTCCCAGATCCTATTCTAACACACCAACCACGACACAACACTCTCACTCTGATAAGAGATGTGATTCAGGGGAGAAGACCTGGAGCACAAGGCCTCTACAGACAAAGAGAACAGAAGTGTCTCATTAATGGGGTTCAAAATGTAATTGAGAAAGGGACTTGCATCACTCAGTGGCACCATAATGCCATGGCAGCAAGCAAGAGGTGCCATGCCACTAGCAAAACAAAACACAGCAGTTGGGTATTTTAATAGTGGCATGGGGAAGGGAGTGGAACAGAAGAATCATCTCTCCCCAGCAAGTTAAGGTTGCACAGTTCGAGAATAAGCAAAAGTGTCAATTCAAAAATCCAAGTTAGAGAAACATTAACAGGAATGTGTGAAACAAATGGATAATAGCTTTTTCTGTGCATTTTCTGTGCCAAAAAAAAAAGTTGCCTAAAGAACCGATTTGATTATAGAGTTATTCTATCTGTATCTATTGTCACCACAATAGCTCTTCAATGCACCTTTTACAACCATCTGGTTTCTTTCCATATTACCTGTGTTCATTCCTAGCAGGTGTTTCTTCTTCTGTTGTCTTTCTAGCTTCTCTTTTTCTGCTTTTTCCTTAGCAATATTAGCACGTCTCTGCTTTTCTTCGGCTTCTCTTCTTCTCGTGTTCTCCTTTGCGGCTTGCTAACAAATACACATTAAGTTTAATAAGCATCACAATAAGATGCTGTAAAAATATTTATATAAGCCTAAGAAACTACAGGTATAAAGAACTGACATAGGACAATAAATTAAATTTATCACCCAATATACAAAGCTTTCCTTTGTGAATTCTGGACACCTGGTATACCAGCATGTTTGAGTACCGCACATGTCAATTTAGCTGTGTGCATGGTGTGAAAAACCACCACACCATGATTTCGTCATCTGTTGTCAAAGAAGAGCACTGCTAACACTTCAAATGATTGTGTCAGGTGGGGTAGCCGTGTTAGTCTGAAGCAGTGACACCTTAAAGACCAACAAAGTTTTGTTCTGTGTATATGCTTTCGTGTGCACCTACACTTCTTCAGATACATTGAAATGGAAGTCACCAACCATTACATAAAGGTAGAGAGTGAGGAGGGTGTTGCTAGGAAGGACAAATTAGAAACAAGATGCATAAGTAACTGAGCTGTAAATATAGCTAAGATTGGATGAAGGTGATTGGTAAGACCTCTGACTAGCAGCAAATTAGCATACAACACAATAAAGCAGTTTACAGCAGATACAAGAACTGAATGACGCTAGTATGTGTAGTGAGTTCTCCCCCACAGATGTTATATAGTCATATAAAAATCTTCTAGATCTAAGCCCCGGTCCAACTTATTTTCTGCAATGAATTTATTTCACAATTTTTGACAGACTGTCAAGACCAGTCTCCCACCTACCCACACCTGCTGGGAGCGAAAAGCATTAACCCCTTACTTCCCCAGCAGGGCAGCTCTGATCCATGGTCCACCTCCTATCACAGTGTTTTTGATTCAGATTTAGACTCATGTACCAATGCACTACCCTTTCTTAAGAAAACAATGCAATTAAAACTGAACTAGGAAAAAATAAGCATGCTTGACTGTGGTATTCCCAGGGCTAAACTTATTACATGTAGTTTACCGTGAATGCTGTCCTGAAATTGTTCAAGTCTGTCAGAAATTCTTCCACCGAAACTTTCTTCAGATCAATGGCATAATATCCCATAACATTCTGATAGAGTTTTTCCATGTTGTTATGCATCCTAGAAAGTTTCTGGAACTGTTCCTTTGCTTGGATTGCAAAGGTGTGTTAAGCTTGTTAAGGTTATGAACTTCATATAATCTTGGTTAGAAAATCAACAGAGACTGGTCCTTTAAGCAGCTTTCTTATACTCACTTGAACCAAAGGGAATGCAACAGATAGGAAACCAAACACAACCATGACATCATGTGTTTTCTCTCACTAACGTGTAGTAAGAGACAACACGGGAAGTGATTAGAATTCATTACCGGAAGGAGTCTCAAAGCGGCTTACAATCTCCTCCCCCACCCCCCCCCACAACAGACACCCTGTGAGTCAGGTGGGGCTGAGAGAGCTCTTTCGAGAACAAGATCCTAGTCAGCATTTCTAAGATGGTCTCGCCAATTGAGCGTCCGAGTTTTTTTAGACAAGCTACCCAAAGTAGTTTGATCTATAACATTCACATTCTCAAGTGAATTTCTTTTTTTAAAAAACGTGCTGGTTACTTTCCCCAAATACAAGGTTTCTCCTTCCTGTAGCAGCTGCTTTCACGGCTTTCTTTTCCTAATGCAGACAGAGTTTGACTTTGGTGTCTTTTCTCTCTCTCTCTATGTGTGCGCGTGTGTGTGTATATATATACATAAAAAACAAAACAAAATGTATGTATGCATGCATAGCATTCCAATACCATGCAATCTCAACTACAGTTTTTAGTTTTATTGCCGCAGATGTGTCGCGATATGCAAGTTGGTAGTGGGATTTGTAAAAGCCAAATCCATTGATATCATGCAAAATATATAAGGTTTCTAACAAATACTTGACATTCAACATTACTTTAAATGAGAAATTAGATTCTGAAATGGTTCTGTCCAAGTCTCCTAATTATACTTCCCCTTCCCGCTTTCTGAAATAACGGCCCCTTGGCCAGGACGACTTTCCTGATTTTTTTTCATTCTCTCCTTACACAATATTCAAAATATTTTCTGAAATAATTAATATAGAAAGATTAATCAAATGCCATCATAAAGAGCATATCGCAAGCTTCATATACATGGAACTCCATATGACTTAGAATGTCTTGTAGCACAAAGAAAACGTCTTATATATATATATACGTCTTAGTGCCTAAAGCATAATCTTAATAACCTCTTATAGAATTAACAAAACCCTATTTAGTCTTATCAGTATACGTTTTATTCTGGTGGATAATTATGCAATTGCATAACAGACGCAACACACTCATACTAATGAAGGCAACGCCCTGAGGGCACTAAAGTTCTTTTGACTTTTGTGGCTAGCCAATAAACCACACAGTGAAGGAAAAAATCCAGGCAGCAAAAAAGGTAGAAAAAAAGTTTTATTTAAATAAGGGACAACATGCAGCCAAAAGTTCAGCTCAGATGTCCAGTGAATAACAGGGATCTGGCTTATATGCTTTTGTTGCTCCTCCCAACTTTGCATCACTGTCGACATTATTTACACATGCGTACTTTGAGTTTCTTTGACTTCAAGAATCATTAATCTTATATTTGACAAACAAGATGTTACTGGCCGTGTTTCAACTTATGATGCAGGTACCTGTCTTGTTAAAAGTGATCTCTGCATCCTCTTGGCTGTTTTCCCAGACTTGCTCACCTTTGAATGAACCCACAGGCTAAGTTTAAGTACAGAATCTAACTTTTCCCATTATAAAAATAGTTTCTCTACATTAATGCATGCACATATCTGTATAAAAGCACTTTGCCTTAAAACAATGAGCTGCTGAAAAGGGGTGTGTGTGTATATAAATATAATTGCTTAAGGTTTCCAATAACTCAATATTAGTATGTTAAAGCATTTTAAACTTAAAGAAGTTTAACTTAATTTTCTTTAGTTAAGAATACTAAGACTCATAAGCCATTATGAACTTTTAAACCTGTTCCTTTGAAGCAGAGAGCTTTAACATAGATCTTCACTATGACAGATCGTTATCATGGTGGTTTGTTGTTGTTGTTGTTCAGTCGCACAGTCGAGTCCGACTCTTTGCGACCCCCATGGACCACATCACACTAGGCCCTCCTGTCTTCCGGATGGTTTGTACCATCCTCATTAATAGTGTTTTGATGTTTTCTGGTGCTGGAACACCAGTTCATTAAGAAATTCCTTCTCTGACAATTAAATAAGATTTAAAACAGCTGTTTTTACAATTCTGCTTAGTGTTGTAAGATTTGCCAACTTATTCCTGGAAAATCCCAAAGTCCTTTCCCAAAGGCCTCTGATAATCCAATAGATTATCACTTGAACCTCTGAGTTTCCTCTACACTAATGTGCCTTTCTATTTAGAATTCAGCAATATTTAAAGGATCTAATTAGAAGTACTAAACATGTTGCCCCTGTATCTATCAGAGGGCAGTGTCCATCAGTTCTCAATAATTTCAATGAAGGGATAAAATGACCTGTTTTAAAGGTCATTTTCAAAGCACACAGAAAAAACAATGTAAAATACACATTACTTTTAAGCAAAGACTGATCCGACCACAAATCAGAAGTAATTCTCCCTAAAGGTAAAGATTCCCTTGCTTGAAAGCCAGTCGAATCCGACTCTAGGGTTGCGGTGCTCATCTCCGTTTCAAAGCCGAAGAGCCAGCGCTGTCCGAAGACTTTTCCATGGTCATGTGGCCAGCATGACTAAACACCAAGGCGCACGGAACGCTGTTACCTTCCCACCGAAGTGGTACCTATTTATCTACTTGCAATTTCTTGCTTTCGAACTGCTAGGTTGGCAGGAGCTGGAACTAGAGATCGGAGCTCACTCCATCATGCGGCACCCAGGTCTCGAACTGCTGAACTACTGACCTTCCACAGCCTGCAGTTCAGCGTCTTAACCACTTGAACCACCGCAGCTCTACACAACTCTAAAATAGACCACTATCCAGTTAACGAACCCCATGGCCCATTGATTTCAACAGCAGTTAGCAAGTGCTTACACCGGCAGGACCTCAAAGTGCTCACCTTCGGCTGGATCATGTCCATGCTGTACTAAACAGCTGAAATGTACTGGGGGTTTTCCCTCCTAAAATCAAATCCATGTTAATGTTTTATCAGCAGTAGAATTTCTACAGCACTGACTAAAGCAGTTTAGCACTCTACAGAGGCCTTTATCATTGTTTCCGCTATCATGCTGGCTTTCATCTATTATCAGGGAAGCTATTTGTATTTGAACATTTCATTCTTTGACAATCACAAACAAAGATACAAAGTGTGATTTTCTAGAACATAATCAAGTTTCACACACCATTTTTACACTTGCGGTTGAGCATTTTCAGACAGTTTCTGGTACTGGAGAACCACCGTACATTACCAAAGCAAACATTTTCCATTTAAGCACCTACCCCATTCATCTGGTGGCACCGTGCATTGTTTCTAATCCATTATTTGAAACAGCACTCCCAAATTAGGATACTTAACCCTAATCTGATCGTAGGGGCACTGTGATTGCACGAGCAAAGCTGCAGTTGCTAGCTTCTCCGGTATCTGACTCAGCCTCCAAAGCTCAGCATTTCCATTACTACCAGGAGCTAGACATTCGATTTTTTTTGGGGGGGGGGGCCTGCTACTACTACATTCTCCTTAACATCCTATACAGCGCATATTTGGGCTGGCTTCTAAAGTGAAATACATGGGTTAGAGTCTACCCTCCCTGTAACACGTCAGTGTCTCCTTCAATAAAAGCAATATAATTTTAGCACATTCCATAACTTTTGGAAGTAGATTACAGGTGGCACCTGCAGGAATGTATACAAGGCAACAATTGGCTTGTGATGGTCCGGGACTTATCATGCTAATGGTTTGCTGCTATGGTCATAAATCTGTAAGACCATGGGATACATTTTCCCCTGACTTCAAGACTGTGGAATGTCCTGGCTTCTATGTACCCAAACACTCCCCAAGAAGGAAGCTATGAGGGTCAGAAAACAAGAGGAATTCAGTCTAGTGCCACTAGTCCCATAAGAGCAGTGGCGACTCCCTGCTACCTGGGCAAATATGCCTCTTTGTGGTCCCCCTGGGCAAATATGCCTCTTTGTGGTCCCCCTGGGCAAAGCCAGGTTGGGATCTGTTGCTTCCCTTCGTATAGATTCACTGGACCACAAAGAGGTACAGCGACTGTCCCACCCTGAAACTTTACTGGATAGCAATTTCCACATGTGTAGATTCCTCATTGCTGTTGCCGCAGCTGCCAATACAAAGCAGCAGCAATGGAGCTTCCATAAGGTACATATCCCCACATGTGCCCTGCCCTGGTTCCCTGGCAGCAGCCACCCTCCCCACAGGGTTTTTTAAAACCAGCATATCATATCATTATAATGTTATACACATTCTTACAACAGGTCTTTGAATTCCCAGCTTTCATATTTTGTTTACAAAAGCAAGCCTCGGTCCCAAAAGGCGAACAGCATATCTCCACAATGAAAAGGGCTAGAGAATTACTTTGAAAAACTGGTAATTTAGGAAACCTGTTACACGGATTATTTTAATGTTACATTGCTGTAACACTATTCAGTTGCTGATTTTTTTTAAAAAAAAGGGCTCCCCAGTGGTGGGGGGAGGAAATGACCCCTGTGAGCCGCTTTGGCGGGAGGGCGGGGGAGAAATTTAATAAATAAATAAATAAATAATTTAAGATGCCATGTGGACAGGGTCCAGGTAAATCTACCCACCGACATAGCAGCCATCCAGGCTTTGCCACAATCTTTTCCCAAATTTCACAGCAAAGCTGGTTCGGTACAATTCAGGGTATAGCCAGGGAAATCCTAGGAGGAATGCACCACAATGCTGTGGGGAAGAAGGAAGCCATTCGCTTCCCAACAGCATCCAACCAGTAGAAATGACCGATAATGTCCTACTTCCATGCCAATACAGCTGCAAATATACACACCACTGTCAATTTATTTTTAACACATCTGTCGCTTGAATGATTACAGTCTGTCATACTTTACATAAAAACAGCATTCAGAGACTCCTTGTAATTTGTGTTAGGACAGCCAATGCCAAGAAAATTCACTTAAATTGCCGAAGTTTCTACCAAAACTAATTGACTTCTTCATTTTTGCCTCCCAAAAGCACCTCTGAAACATTTTCATCAACAACCACAACGAAAAGGCTCAAACTACTGCAGAAACATTATTTCTAAATTTCCAATCTTCTATGTTCTCCGACTCTCAGGCTTAATATTTCATTAAACATAAAACAAAGTTACTACCCAGATGGCATCTCCATAAGTAATGAATGCCTATAGCAAGTTTATCCAATTTGTAATTAGATTTTCTTTCCATTTATCTTAACATAACTTGATATTATTTAGCAGAAAAGGAATTTATACACAAGCCACTACTAGTAAGCACATTGATATACACAACTGTAATAAATCACAATTACCAATCTACCTAGATCGTGCTTTTAAACACCTCTACTTCCAAAGTTTTTACTAAACCAAGCCACCATTTATAAGTGGCATTCTGAGAAAGAAGTACAAATATAATATAATAACCTGTTGGTAAGTGACAGACGAACTGCATGAAAGACGAACTGCATGAAATAGCTTTTTAAAGAGCAAACCACTAGAAGAATTCTAACAAACCTAAGTCTAAGTAAGGAATGCAATCAACCATTGTGGGAATTTACAATTTTGAATATACTACTCAGAGCTTAAGTAATTCTAGCTGATTTTAATAGCAATGTTAGCTGTATTGTGATCCCTAGGAAAAAACTGAGATTTCCAATACTGCTAAGGCATCCAATCTTTAACTTGTTATTTCCATATCTATTACCTTTCTCAAATAGTTTTCATTCTCCCCATAAAGGCTGCATCAATACATTTAATGTTCTAAGCCGTTTTTTTCCTAAGCCACTTAACTAACAAACAATACCACGCAAGGAAAGAACACTGCATTTAAAGTTGCGTAAATAGCTCCGACAGACAGCCAACTACATTAATAAGAAAGCCATCTATATAATTACAGGTTGTCAACAAAAGTACACGCACCGTGTACATATCTGTGTTTTAAAATAAACATGATGCTAATAGACTCATTAGAAAGCTTCAGGTTGTGATATTTAGCAGCAGGATATAATAGCCAAGTCGCCTATGGAGCATAATTGTGCACAGGATGAAAATGTGTTCTCACACAGCCCCATCCTTCCTGTTTCGGCTTTCCTGCCGACTGCTTTTTATGAGCTGCATGTCTTTCAAAACATCAGTACCATTCAGCTTCGCCTTTCAAAGTAAGTGACAGAAGAGGCCCCGGACTCCTCAAGCTGTGCAGGATTACCTAACCTTTACATCAAGTCTCCTTTGCTTTGTAATTTATCGTAGCCCCCGCTTTCTTGGAAGTCAGCTTCTTTAATTAGCAACCTCACAGCTATTACCAGAAACCACACGTTAACTTCACCATTTCTCAATGACTCTCTGCCTATAGGGACGGTTAACAGGAGGCAACTAACTATTGCACGTTAACAGTGTTTAAAGATCAAAACGTCTGTTAAGAGAGTCACATGTGGATTATTCTAATAGGGTGGAATAGTTCAGTGATGTTCCTGATAATGCAGTACCCTGTAAATAAGAAGGAAATCTGCTTGCGTGTAATAGCAAGTGCTGTCCTCGAGGCATTTTCACAATGCCTGTGTAACATGGTGTTTTCATTCTGAAAATTAAGCAAACCAGGGCTGATTTCCCACAAGCTGCTGCTCCGCGCTCGTTCCTCCCTTTGTCCCGATCGTACAGCCGCATTTTGCTCCACAGCTTTTCCCGATTCCCCCCCCCCGTCTACTCAATCCTGGGTTTTGAAGGTTGAGTAGACGCAGGGGAAATCAGGCGAAGCTGCGGAGCAAAATGCGGCCACGCAGCACACAGTGTGAAATTGACACGTACGAACAGGGCAGAGGGAGGAGCGAGCGCGGAGCAGCGGCTTGTGGGAAATCAGCCCAGGTTTTTATACTACGGGCAGCTTTCTGTTCACGTGAAAGGACAAGAACGTTCCATTTAGTACCTTCCAATTCCCTTTTCTAGTTCAGCAGACCAACTGCTCATTCTTTCAACACAGAGCATTGGCACAGGCCTTACTGGAAACTGCTCAAAGGCAAAAGGGCAGAAATACATATCCCTGGGCAATCCTCTTCCTGGTTAAGCCCACTGATATAAATGGGATTAGGCTGGAATCTCTCTGCACTGGATCGCATCTTAAGTGTCAGTAAACCACATGGTGCCTTGCCATGGAAGAATCTTCTGTGTGGTATAAGGGTTTTTTTTCCTGGCAGAGCTGTTATACAATTTACTATTTTTATATCCCCGAAAGAATAAGGTAGAAGAAGAAGCTGCATTCTGTCATCTTCGTCTGATAGTCACCGTTATTTGGAGGTGATTGCCTGCTGCTCGTATTCAAGGTCTGGAATATATACTACAGCATTTATCTATGTCTGATGGGAACATTCCCTATGGGAGGGTTGCCAAACTCCAGGTGGGGCCTAGAGACCTCCCACAATTACAACTGTTCTCCACGCAACAGAGATGAGTTCACCTGAAGAAAATGGCCACTTTGGAAGGTACACTCTGTGGCATTCTACCCCACTGAAGCCCCTCCCTCCTCCTCCAAAGCCCACCCTCCCAAGGCTCCACCCCCAAAATCTCCAGGTATTTCCCAACCCAGAGCTGGCAACCCTACCAATTAGTCAACAAAAAGCACTTGCATCTACTTTACATTAACAATTTTCGGCTTTCTCCTTCATGGTAATTCTGTCTGCAAGCATGCTAGCGAAGTACGGGACAGATACAGAACAATTTTAGATCACAGTTTGTTGATCTGAAATTGTTCTGTATCTGAAGGAAGAAAGCTGAGTTGGAATCAGCAGTTGTGACACACAGGATCCACTGGAAGAACCAGTGGACCGCTACCCCCCCATATCTAAAAGAATAACTATACTGAGGAGAGGGGGAGCTTTAAAAAACAGGGAAGAGCTCATAGGCAGACTGTTCATTTTGATGACTGACTCAAGCTGAAAAACAATCTGAAGGATTTCACTAAGAGAAGGGTATTTAAGTTTCTTAACCATTTCCCGCCTAACTGGAAATTGCCATGTTTCACCAACCAATACCTCAAAACATTTCACTGAATTCTATTTATGTGTTCAATCAAAAAATTACAGTGTTGGTGGAGATAGCATACACTTAATTCTAGATAAAACATTATAGGTGATTCCCCCCCCCCATTAAGCCATTTTAGATTTAGTCATTTAAGGTGGAAGATTAAAATTGTCAAAAGTGCCTGCCGCACACTGAACACAGATTATGCAAATACTAAATCTGAAATACTAAGAAAACTTAAAACAAAGCGACATATAGAGCATTGAGCTGTCAAAAGGATATGGACATCTTTGTCACAAATTTGTCATGAATATCCTCAGGAGGGGGAAAGGTCTCCAAATCCTTCTCAAGTTGCTTAAGCTGCCTTTCCATCTGCTTTAAGCTCTTCTCCAAGCTTTCTGCTGAAACTAAACACAGTAGGAGTTACCTGAAACTTTCATGTCAAGTCGATAGTGTAGCTACACATAGAAAGGATCTGCTACGCTCATGCTCTAAAATGTCTTTTGCTAGGAAAATGCCATACGATGCATCCCGTGTATTTATAAACACTTTTATTGGCAAAAGCACTATGTCACTTGAAGTAGAATGTGAGTTATAACATGGGCTGTGACTAGATAATGGGTGTAGCAGACAGTTTGGGAAGGAAATATCTTTCAAAAGCAACTGTGACAAAGCATGCACATGGAGTTCACACCAAGGAAAGGTTTCTGGAGAAAATGGATGCAAATGGGTTAAGCAGACAGCAAGCAGTCTTCAACTCTACATCACTTCTGTATCTCTGCATTTATAATTTTTTAGAGTGCCTGGAACACTGCAAAGAACAGTTTCCATCCAAAGCAAGTCAACACAATGAGAGGAGATGAATGTGCCAGAACGAACAGACAACTAGCCATGTGCACTTTTCCAAAAGGCACAGGAGTAAGAAAATAAATGACCCCACATGAGCAAATAAGCCCCAGGCAGAAGGCTATGAGGTCAAGAGGAATGCATTTAAAAGTCATGAGTCTCCATGCCTCGGGGAAAGGTTTTTGCACTGCGGCAGAACTAAAGAGCATCAGATCTGTGGGTTTTTAGGCTACAGTTCGTAGACACTGAGTTAATCAGTGATTTGAAGAGGTATTGGAGTGAGGGGGGTTACGTAAAACTCTACAGGGTTCTTTAGGATCTGTGCAGATCTGGCTTTTGCTCCTCACACCCCCAAAAAAGATGAATATGGAGAGTACTTAATATTATGTTTATTTTTTAGATTTTTTTAGTTGCCACTCACCCAGATGGTCCTGCCGAAACTTAATCTTAAACAACATCGTGATAAACAAGTTAAAAACAAACAAAAATCAGATAATATGTATAAAATATTAAGACACAGGACGTAGCAGGATACTGCTTCCAAACCAGCCCAAAAGATCTGGTTAACCTCCAAAGGCCCACCAGAACCATTCGGCCTTGCAAGCCCTGTAGAAACAAAGTCCTGCTGGGCACAGGGGTCATCCGAGAATGCATTCGACAGAGCAGGAGCCAGAACTGAGAACTTACGTCTTTACGTCTCTTGCTCTTTCTACATGCCCATGGGGCCCTGTTGTTTCTAGCAAGACCTACTATCAGTTCCCTCCTTGCCCAAGGTATGCTTGGCAACAGTCCGGGCTCAACCACTTCAGTGCCTCTGGAGCAACTTCCTAGAAGAGGCGGGGGGGAGGGGGGGCTCCAACTGCCCTTGGCTCTCCAGCAAAGCTGCAAAAGCAGAGCGATTCCAAATATCTTTGGGGGCAACCTTAGCACAGGCAGAGAGGAAACACCTGCTAGTGGGGGCATAAGGTGCTTTGATGGTTATTTATCTAATGGTATTAATACGCTGGGGGCGGGGCCACAGCCATCTATGTTTTCCCCTCAGATGGCTGTGGCCCCACCCCCAGCATGCCCGGCGTCATCAAGTCACATCCGGCTGATGTGCATGCCGGGGTGGGGTTTCCCCCGGGGCCCGATTCCGTGGCGGGAAACCGCCGGCAGGAAATCCGCCCCCCGGGGGGACTTGGCAGCCCTAATCACAATTATTCATCCACTTATAAATTCTCGACCATCTCTTCAAATATATTTCCTCATCTTCACCCTGCATTAATAGACTAAGCTTGTCCATTTCTGCTAGATTCATCAGTTTATGAACTAATTCTTCCCTACTGGGGGTTTTCTCTGACTTCCAGTATTTTGCTAATAAAATTCTAGCGGATGTTATTATTAATATTATTGAATACATATAATGAAATTTAACTTCTTCAGGAATCATATTAAGTAGATAACATTGTGGTTCTAATCTTAAATTCACATTAACAATTTCCAAAATTATTTTCTGTGTATTTTTGCACACTGCCACCACATGTGAGCCATTGTCCCCAAGGGAACTGATCTTGGCTGTCTGAAGATCAACTGTAACAAGTGGGAGATCTCCAGGTGCCACTCGGAGGTCGGCAGCCCTTGCTGTGGCCCACACCTTGGGTCCTGAGGTGCTCGGGAGAAAGGCAGGTGCTTAAATATTTCAAATAAATAAACAAAACAACCTGGTTGTTATACAAACCTCTGCTTGCTTTATCTACATGTTGCAAATCTTCAACAAACCTCAGGACATCGGGGTATTTCTCCTCACATATTTCAACAAGAAAATGAAGCAATGTAGTTTTCTGATCGACAGATTTAGTGTCCTTTAGCTTGAAAAGAAAGACAAACAAATAAACAGAAGCTTATATGAAGTTTTAGAAATTCCAGTTATTACTGTTGTTTTTCTTGCACAGTATCTGAACGTTAAGTGGAGTGCCCAAAACATTATTTGGATCAATTTAAATCTTTCAATTCCAATGTTGTGGCTGGAAGTTCACCTTACAATGCAGCAGGTAAAGAACTCGATCTGAACAACAAAACTCGCCTGAGTAGCAGATAGGAAAACCAAAGACAATATTTGGTCAAATGACTGGTTAATATATAAAAAAAAAAATCACTCAATGCTGCCACATGGCAGAATGCAAAGGCAGTCCAATATGGATGAGGCACCACAAAACGCAGTATCAAATGATGGCTAATATCAAGGACTGGCCAAATTTGCACACCCAGGAAGCTACCGGATAACATTATCCTGTGCATTTTTGCAGAGGAGAAAGACAAGGGGAATTCCTGTCAGCTCTGGTTGAGGTTACTCCTCACTGAAGAACTGGGGCTGATTTGCCCTTAACAACTTTCACTTGGCACACAGTCCCAATCCTTTAAATGGGCGTAGTACAGCTCTACTCACCCAAGATCTTGTGTGATGTATATCACTACCATGTTGTCACCGCACTGTGTCTGCATTTTTCTGCACAGCATCTGCACTTTGTATCAAGTCTAATATGCTATGCTTTTCAGATTTCTGACATCCTAGTACACTGAACACAAGAATCTGTCTTATAATGAATCAGACCATGAGTGCATCAAAGTCAGTATTGTCTACTCAGACTGACAGCAGCTTTTCAAGGGCTGAGGAAGAGGTTTTGTACACCGCCTATTGCCAGATCCTTTAAGTAGAGATGCTGGGGATTGAACCTGGGACTTTCTGTATGCCAAGCAGATGCTCTACCACTAAGCCACAGCCCCTCCCCATTGCTTATCGGACGTGTCTAAATACTGACTGTATTGACTTACGCTGCATCATCCCCTTTGAGGCTCAGTGTGAAACGCAGTTTGTAAATATAGTAGAAAAATAAACAAACAAGTGGCCAAAAACCTGGTTGCAAGAAATCTTGTGCAAGCAAGGATAAAGTAAGTGTGACTTCGTGCAAGTGGCTACCAGGGTTGTTTTCTTGAGCTTGAGCTCTCGAGCAAGCAGAAATTTTGTGCTGGATCCAATTCATTCACACCACAGATGATCCCACGCCAGTGCACCCACCACCACCATTTGTGATATCATACTCATTCCGGCTGCTTTACTTAATAGATAAAAATAGAAGCTTTAAAGCAGAATATAAAATGATCTCAAAACATTGTACACTGTTAACCTGATATGAAATGTTTACTTTGCCAAGCTTCACAGCAAATTAATGGCTTTTCTAAGTGAGTGGGAAGGAATGCATAGATTATGAAGCTCCATATTATTGGGAAGGTTAAGGGTCAAAAGAGAACGAGCAATTTAAAAAGCATGGTAACTTAAAAAAAAAGGGAACAGCAGCTGCAAATGAAGTATTATAAGGCTTTACAAAAAAAAAAAGAGAGAGAGAGACTCACTTTACATAAGGAGCTGAGGTTAAACCCAAAGGTCTGTGCATTCCGCGATCCCGCATTCATGTAATTTCCCACTAGCAGCACCAGTTCCAGCAGCTTGCGGAAGCTGTTGCTCTTCTTGATCTCTTCGCAGGCGGCACTGACAGCCATGATGTCGGGTTTGATGTTGCTTACCTGCTCCTCAAACTGAAGCTTAAAAAGAATAGCACTCAACCGTGGCTGCAGCCTCTTCACACCACTCATCTAAAGGGGGGGTGTGGCAGTTGGAGAGGGAGAGAGCAAACAGAAAGGTCTCTTAAAACCCCCACAGGATTTTCAAGGCAAGCAACTTCAGAGGTGGCTTGTCATTGCCTGCCTCTGCACTGCAACCCTAGACTTTCCTTGGTGGTCTCCCATCCAAGTACTCACCAGGGCCGACCCTGCTTAGCTTCCAAGATATGACAAGACTGGGGTAGCCTGGACCATCCAGGTTTTCAAGGAAAGAGACGGACAGAGGTGGTTTGCCATTGCCTGACTCTTCATAGCAACCCTAGGCTTCCTTGGTGGTCTCCCATCCAAGTACTCACCAGGGCCGACCTTGCTTAGCTTCCAAGATATGACAAGACTGGGAGACCCAGCTGAGCTCTGAGCAGGAGACAGAGGAGTGAGTGGTTTTTTACTTGCTTTCAGCTGAGA